GCTGCTGGGCCGGCGGTGGCGGGAAGGGCGGCGGGCATTGTCGGCTGCGGGGAAGCACACGGAGGGAGGCGTTAGAGCCGCGCGCCCCTGAAACGCGTGCGGGGGCTTTCACCTGACAACTGCGTGGTTTATTAATAGGGTCATAACTGTACGGTCCTGATTCCGGTCCTTAGTGACTCCGAAACACCAACAATCGCAGCAAGGACCGGGTAAATTGTCTCCTTGCCTGCTCTTGACAGTGATGTATACATCTGGCATGAGGAGATAAAGGAAGCGTTGACTCCAAACCAGCATCTCTGCTGAGGTGTGCAGCTGGGATTTCAGCAGCCAGCCTGGCTCTCCCTACCCGCCCTGGCCACAAACCCCACCGCGGAGAAGCGTCAGCTGGCGAGCTCAAAGGGGACACAAGGGGTGCGTTACTCACCCTTCCAACACGGCTCCCTGCCTGGAGAGAGACCAGCGGATTGACCAAACTGGGAAGTGAAAGGAAGCGATGGGAGCGAAGCAGCGTCCCCGGGCGGCTTTAGCAAGCGGGAAAGGGAAAGGGAAAGGGAAAGGGAAAGGGAAAGGGAAAGGGAAAGGGAAAGGGAAAGGGAAAGGGAAAGGGAAAGGGAAAGGGAAAGGGAAAGGGAAAGGCTGCTGCAGAGGTGCCGGAGGCAGAGCCCCAGTCAGTCACAGCGAGCCACGAAAGCCGTCCTCCAGTGCAAGACCTCATTGTGTCACTCTCCGCCTAACGGCATCCATCACGCACCAGGCTCATACTGGGGAAGGGCAAGAAGTGAGCTGGTGGTGGACCTGCTTGTGGGCAAGGCTTTCCGACAGTGGGCGGCTCTTCAACCCACCCGAGTCAGGATTCGCAACAGCTGGAGGATAACCCAGGAGGACGTCTTAGCAGTGAGGGCAACTCTATGGCTGGTGGCCAGGCGGGACTGGAGTCCCTCACTTCTCTCCTGCATTTCAGCCCGGCGAGCTGGAGAAGGGACACTGTCCCTGCTTCAAAAGGGGGAAACTGAGGCAGGGAGCAGCTCAAAGCTTGCGTGCACCGGAGCCATCTCCATCCCTCCATCCACCCCACCGGCAGGGTCGGGGCCACGCAGAGCCTCGCTGTGCACAGGCTGAGCCGTTCCTCAGCCCAGATGCCGAAGTTGGGAAATTTCTACACCGCGCTTGTCTAAAAGAGACTCAACCCAGACCACACAGGACGCCTGTGTCAGAGCCCACTCTGGCTGGAAAATAAGCTGGCTGCTGGACCCCACCTGAAGTCTGCAGTCAAGCACCTTCTGAAAGTTGTCTTTTAGCTTAACCACAAGCTATTAGGCCTGCTGCAGCTATTGTTGCCTTTATTTCTGTGC